CAGAAGATCAGTGTATTGTATATGGTAACTTCAGCAGTGTAAAAAAATGCCACCATGACACCTTTGAACAGGTCACAGGTCCCTTAGTGATAGGTCTTGGATCATGCTTCGGTCTTTCTAGTGAGATCAAAAAAGTATTTAGAACCAATTGAAGAGATGACAGAATAATGTTTTAGCAGCAGGCCAAGAGACCTGGAATGTAACATACTCAAATTGAAAGACTCTGCCAGAGGTAAGGTTTTGTTGGTCATGTTCTGTACAGCTGGTGTCCACACTGCTGGAGAATACCTTCTTTCTAATGCAGCTCAAATGCAGCAATCCATCTTGTCATGCCAAGTCTTTGAACAGACATTTGCTGCTCTTTCACTACCGGCACAGGAACCCAAAGAGAAAAGTTCACTGCAGGACGGGCTTAGCAACTGACAGCCCTAATATTGGAGGAACACAGGAGGGAACATCTTGCAGGAAACTTGCAGAGAGTGTGCTATACAGGTAGGAATAAGAGACGGTGTGAGGTCCTGCAATGAATTAGAAGTTCAAGACGTGGGCCTAGAGGGGTATGTGTTGCCTGTAATCCTTTGTCACAACAAATGCAGAATTCCAGAGGAACACATAGATCACCTACGGTAACATGAAAAAGCATGGAAGGGGATTCTAATCATTACTGCTCTAAACACTCTTCACAAACAATGTTAGAACACTGCCTGAACACTCTTTGAAATTGTTAATTAGGGAGAAGTAGCTGTGGGATGGGGGCTGACCCTAAGGCTCATTGAGGCTTTATTACATTGTAACTGCTCTCAGGAAGTTCTGAACAGTATTTTACAGCAAAGGATGCACCCATCACACGCACACTATTCATATGCAAGGAGGTGTTAGAAATTAACAGGGAAGCTGGTACTAAAATGCACTTGCACAGGCCAAAGTCATATGTCTCACACTAGATCTACCATTGTGGTCATCAAAGCCACATTCACAAGAACTGCATTTATCTGTGTGTGTGTATATTTACTACCTCTCACTAACCTCTCTAACCAGATTTCACCTACTGTGATTATTACATAAAATACTTCCTATACAAAAGGAAGTAGATAGAATGGGTCACAGTGACGAAATAGCAGGCTGACATTTAAAACCTTAAATGGAACAGTAAGAGTAGAATGCATAATGGTTCCATTACATAACACAGTGTTTTATGCCAAACATTTTTAAATAGAACAGTAGGAGTCTATGTTAAATTGCAAGTATATTCAGCAATGTCTCAAATGTTGGAATACATTGGTTTAAGCCTAGGAAAAGTACACCTACAAAGCTTTCCTTTGAAAAAATACAATATTATCGTGACTGGGGGGGAGGCTTCTGAGTTGAAACTTGACTATCTTACTCAGAGGGTTGGTAACAATGAATATTGTGTTGCAATATTTTAATATTTATATACCCATTCGTGGGCCAAGTGGAAAGTAAACATGGAAGAAGACCAGATGAGAAGGGAGTTCTTAACTAGTCAGGTAAATTATTAAGACCACCATTTTAAATAATAAATGTTCAATGGTCGCCACTGGTTATTAAGCCAGCCTCCATAAGACTGGACCACAGCATAAGCACAGGAGCAGAGATACAGTATTAGGGAGAAAGAACAGAAAAGGAAAAATGGTGAAGGAGAAACATCCTTCATCAAATCATCAAATCATCAAAACACCAAAGCTGAGACGTGGGAGAATTCTTTTTTCCCCAATCAGTCCAACAGTCTTACGACCACATTCTGTCGGACACCAAGCACCTCATCTTGCTAATTATGTTAGGAAATTTTAATTTCCTATATTGTGAAAACAGGGGAATTTGTGTCTGTGGTTTAAATGGGAGATTTAGTACTAGGTAAGACCCATTTTCATTAGGACATAGGCCTGTTGACCTATTAAGGAGTTTTATGGTATTGTATATTTAGTTATAGGACAGAATTCTGTAATAGTTCAGGTGGGTAGCTGCGTCAGCATGCGTAGGCTGCAAAGGAACAAGTAATAGGTTTATTCCATGCTGAAAAAAAGAAGAAAGAGAACACAACGTTTCGGCCGTGTCACACCTGAAGAAGGCTCCACGGCCGAAACGTTGTGTTCTCTTTCTTCTTTTTTTCACCATAAACCTATTACTTGTTCCAGAATTCTGTAATATTCTAGGTCCTGTATATAGTTGTAAGGAATAAACCTATTACTTGTTCCTTTGCAGCCTACGCATGCTGACCCAGCTACCCACCTGAACTAGTTGTAAAGATACTGTATGTATATTATTATTAGGAGATATTTGGATTGTCTATGTTTGATCCTGATTATTACCATATTATTAAGGTGTACCAGAAAATAAAAAAAAACTGCTTGGTTTTGTTTCGGTGTGAAATTATTAATCTTTATAATTTGCTTGCATAACAAACTATTGTCAGCATCTGTTTTTTTATATTCATTTAATAATCACGATATATACTGTACAAGCTGCTCTATACTGTACTGTATATATGAGTATATGAAAGCATGGACATATTACATGGAACAGTTATAGCATGAAACCCCCCTTTTTGCAGAAAATTTTAAAAGATGAAGCTGTTTCCCACTTCAGTGGTGTGCTAATACAGTACATTTCCTAAGTTATTAAAACAACACATGTAAAGAGACAGGCATGTTGAAATCTGATTGAGACACAGTTTGAAAATCTGGAATGTGCATGCCATGCTTGAGACAAAGCATAGCAGGGATCAAATCCAGCAATATTAATGCTGTCTAGCGCAACTGGCTTTCATACGGCTGTTCAACAAAGTAAGTGTTCATGTGTCGTCCAGATAAGGCAGGTTCTTCTAATGTCAGTGCTTAGACTTGTTCTCTAGACTGTATCTGATCACTTCTTGTAAGCCATTCTCTCCTTGTAAATCATCCCAAACTGTGAAAATGAAGGAGACCTTGTTCACACATTTCAGCCTTTTTTCATTTTTTAGAAACAATTTACAAACACTGAGCATTTATAACATGGTTTGTTAGCTGAAAATTGTTTGTATGATTTTAGTTTATTTGAAATTTCATTAGGTTACAATACTTGTACTGTTCATTTTCTACGTCTTGTTAAGTACTTTGAGACGAGGCTATTCAAAATACCACTATTCAGCACTATTCAAAATTAAAAAAATGGAACTATGTATCAGATTATATTGCTTAAAAAGTTCAATCTTTGAAAAAAAGAAAATAATATGTTTACTATTTATTGACAGTATTTTTAATATACACAAATTAGAAAATGTCATATAAGGGATGGAAATCAATTTGACAAATCTGTCTATTCCTTATATACTGTATGTGTTTATTAAAAGTACAATTCCTGTACAATTTCATTTATAGACAGCTCTAGATTTTTTAAGCCTACCATCAGAATTATAACAAGTATGTTTGTGCATCAAGTCTACTAAAACATAAGAAAGTGGGGATATATTTATTCTTATGTTTGGTACAAAAATACAAAATAGAATAATAACCAATAAATTTTACTGGGTATCGTTGGTGAAACCTTTTTTGTTCTTTTACTTGTTCCCTGAATTCAGATATTTCAAACTCAGAAAGTTTTAGCTTAAGAAGAAAAGGAAAAATCTTCCCTTTTCCTGCCTGAATCACTTACCCTGTTTAAACACGCAGACATCAAAAACTGCTTCTTTTATGTAATCTGTAGACTCTCAAATGAGTGTGTCAACCTGTCTTTCCCTTCACAACACAAGATCTAACCTGTTACTGATCCGATGCTATAACCATGGCAATTTAAACTACATGCAATACTACAAATTATTTCGTATTTTTCACAATAAGGTCTGCTAAAATAGATATGGCTATTCCCTTTGAAATCGACTACCAGAAACCTGAAACGTATGACACGAACCACGAAGGTTTCACATTTTTTCCACATCTGTCTAGTTTGTCACAGTCCTAAGAAAAGCTATTTGTTAAACCATGAAAGTGACTACACCACTCGAATGAGAAAATCTGATTGATTCCTCAACTGCGATGTCGGAAATGCAACTGAAAAAGCATCCAATTAAATAAAAAATGCTTTACATTCAACTAGCTATATATATACATTATCTAAGAACTCCGCATTACTAGAGCTCAGAATAAGAGGCACCTTAATTTCCTTCATGAAACAGCTAGTTGAGATTTTTGGATCAAGTAGATACTAACTACGAAACAGGCTAGGTGGGCCTAATGGCCTCCTCTTGTTTGTAACCTTATGTTCTTACTAAAAGTACAGGACCTGGACGAAACCCCAATTCCTAGCACTCACCGGTACTGTAGGATGTAAATATAGGACTTTAAACCCCAACTTTTCATACAGAATTCATCATGCTTACACCCCATCCCCCCGCCCACGGCACCGCCCCCAACTTATCAACCCTCTAATGTGTGGGCAGTTCAAAATTACTCCTTATAGTCGGGGTGGAGGTTGCTGGTTCAAATCCCACAGCCAGCAGAGGAATCCTACTCCATTGGGCCCCTGAGCAAGGCCCTCAACCCCAACTGCTCCAGGGGTGCAGTATAAATGGCTGACCCTGTGCTCTGACCCCAAGCTTCTCTCCCTGTCTCTTGTGTCTGTGTGTCTCATGGAGAGCAAGCTGGGGTATGCAAAAAGACAAATTCCTAATGCAAGAAATTGTATATGGCTAATAAAGTGAACTTATCTTATATTAACCCTTTCCCATATGGCACTGCTTCAACAAACAGAACTACTGTAAATTGTAGCCATCCACAATCTACCATCTAACTGTTGTGCTGTTTCATTGGATTTTAATGAAAAACCTAAAAAGGAAAGGACACGACAGCCACTGTGCAAGCATTAAATGTGTAGACTGCCCTGTGCCATGTAAGACGTGATAATGTCATTTGTCCATGCAGCTGTTTTGCCTCTTACTGCACTTTGTCTTAGTCTCGTGATAAAGTGAAGTCACAGACAGCGCTGTTCCTATTTGCCCGGCTTACCTCCGCTGTTTGACAGGACATGTGGCTCGCTGTCCGGCAGTGGGACCTCAGACAGCTTGGCGGGCTCTCTGGTGAGTTTGCCACTGTGCTGCAAGCGTCTCAGCTGCAGCTGTTGCAGCCAGTACATCATGGCCTCGCGGTTCAATGCCTACAAAGACAAAAGCCTCCATTGAGACTTCAGCACAGCTGGGACAGAGGTCAGGCCTGGGACAGGGAGTTCCTACAGTATACCCCAGAAACGATCCTGAAGAGCACGAAGTCATGTCAAACAGTCATGTCATACAGATAAATTTGCTGCCTTGAGCCCGTTGCTTGCCAGGATAGGTCAGGGCTTGAATTATTGGTCATACTTGCAGTCTGTTTAGGAATGTGCAGGCGAAAACCTAAATCATTTAGTTTGCACTTTTTATTCTCTGAGTAATTGGCTGGGCTTGCTTATGCTTTAATGCCAACGGATAAATACTAACAAACAATCCTATGTTTTAAAAAGAATTGGGTGCTTTAGATGTCATTTTGGATATCCAACTTCCATGATATTTTCGTCTGACACACTCATTAATGTACTTTTAATTCAGACACACAAATACACAAAGTTGTACACAGAACTATTTTAAGAAACATGAAATAATTGTATTCATTTCCTGTATTCATTAATGAGCTCTTGCGTATATTGTACACAGCAGTTCCACGTCTTCCTGATATTTTCATATTTTTTCTTTCCGGCAACGATATGCGCTGTTGATCACACAAAAAAAAAAAATTCACAACTGGAATGAAAGGGAAAATGTCAACATAAGGTGACCGTAACAGAAACTATGAAAATGGGAAAATGTTCCTCAGACGTCGGCTCGGAGAATGAGGAGCAAGAAGGCACATTTGCAAAATGGGTCCCCATGATTGTGGGAAATATAACATTTCAAAACACTTTCCTAATAGGTATCAAAGAGCGAATGAAGTAATGAAAGAGAAAATAAAAGTGAGTAAAGTCGGCAGAAAAAAGGAACCCAGTCATGCTGCAAAGGCAGGCATACAGAAAAACAAGAAAGACGAGAAATGTTTCGCCAAACAAATGAAGAAAGTTTTTCAGGACTGCAGCTTGGTATGGTACTGTACTGCTCAACAGGAACAACTGGATTAAGTGATCTTGTCGCCTCACAGATCTCTATGGAGTGAGCCAAGAGAAAAGTCAGGGGATCCTGCTCAGAGTACCTTCCTCTTGTACTTGCATGAAGAAGTCCTGTTTTCACTTCTCTCATTAGAAATCCTGGGTCACGGAATTTTAAGTCAACCCATAAAAGATATCAGGGCAACTTTATAAAGTGGTATAGTAAAAAATAACAGATTTATTATGTTACACATGAAAATGTTAAAATCTCATTAAAGTGGCTAGAAGACTGAGCAGCACAGTACAATGATGATTAAGTGTACTGTGTACTTAATACAGTATATAACAGATCACAGTTTGTTTCATAGGAATTTGTTTGTATCATAGAAAACTGTGTTCAATTCCAGACTTGGGGTGCTTTCTCCATGGAGTTTGTTTTCCTTGTGTTCGCAAGGGTTTCCTCGGCCCTAGTTTCTTCCCACAGTCCAACTACATACAGGTACAGTAGGTTAACTGGCTTCTAGGAAAACTGGCCCTGGTGCGCGAGTGTGCGCGAGTTTGTGTCTGTGTCTCTGTACGACTGCCCAGGGTGTGTTCCTGGCTGGCACTCGGTGCAAAGCATTCTGGGTGTGGTGGAATTAACATTTTCCTTTCCAGGGTGGAGTGGTTGTCCTGGTGCTTTGTTGCTTTCCTTTAGGTGGAAAAGATGTGCATTTCTTTCACAATGGATTTTACAGATTTTACAGTTTACAGTGCTTATACATGGTGGTGCTCGCAATAATATTTGAACACCATAATATGCATTTATTGGAACAGTGTTGTGCAAACCATAATATTTTATTTGTACATTACTATATACTATTCTATAATAAAATATAACCACCAAGCCCAACTCTGTTCACTTCTGTGACATTGCCACTCTTTCAAAATGTGTTCTTCCATGCCCATCAACCCTGCTCATTAGTGCTGTCACCCCGAGGAAGAAGCTGTATGGAAGGTCCCGTGCAGATTGTCCTGCTCTGTAACTGCTCTTGTGTTCAGCTCTGAAACTTGGATGCAATTCGTGATTCACAACACCACAAACAGGATAATACTTCCTTAGAAAGCTTTCAAAGAGAGAAACTAGAATTATTCCTGGTCTCAGGGGATGGATAGATACAAACTGTGTAAAGTAGAGACATCTCTTCTACCTAGAACAAAGGAGATTTAATCCAAGGGCAAGAAAGCCTAAAAGATATCAAAAGTGCCATTCCAGGGCAGTTCTCAGGTTTCAGGAGTGAAACAAGGTTACGACTGGAAAATAAAAGGGAATTATTATTATCCACACAAAGTTGTTGAGGACATACTGTACAGAACAGGGATCCCAACCAGCTGGGTGAGGCTCTTGAAGAAATTAAGATTCAGTTAGCTAACAAAAAGACAAACAAGTTTGATGAGCACCATAGGACTAGCTTGTGGCATCTGGGTTTAAAGGATATATACTTAAGTAAACAAATCACCTGCTATAGGGTGAGCTATAAAACCCACTGCGCTGTGTCTCTCTGCGATAAGAGCTGGCCACTCCTGCTATATATGCCCTCCATTCCTTCAGGTAACATATTCATAGGAATGACCACACTCTACAACACTCAACCTACTACTCACACAGGTGAAGTTAGGTCCTTACCTGTCAGTTCACTAATCTTTATCACTCTCTTGGCCATCACTGCCACTTAACCTTTCTGCAGCAGCAGCAGTGGAATGATAGGATATTGACCTACTTATACGCTAATACACTGAGATCAAACAAAGTGTGAATGAAGCATGAAATCTCATTACAACACTGCAATCTTCTGGCTGAATTAAGCAATAGGGTATATAGGACAGAATTTCCCAGAGTTGTGCAATATCTGCTTCAATGGCTTTGATACGTGTGGCACTTCCTGCTGGCTCTTTTCTGGGGATTTTATTAGCTCTGTTATTTTTCAATCCAGTAAAAAAAACACTTGAATCTCTTTCCACAGGAGCCTGCATCTCACAGCATGGAACATCTTTTTTAAAAGTTGTAGTCCTTATGGAACCTTCTAAACTAGTTCAAAAGATTTAGGATTTTGTTTTAGAATTTATGGACAGGAAATAACCTCTATATATAATAAATAGCCAGTGTAAATGAATAAAACCAAGGGTACATTATTCAGTGAGCACTGAACTTCCGGCATGAAGTATTCAATTGAAAAATATGTATTAAAAAGAGTTAATCACAGCAGAAGTATTGTTGCAAGTGTGACACACTTTCTTGCCAGTCATTGTGATATGCCTGTCCTTTAGGAGATCTTTAGGAGAGCAGTGAAATCTGAAAAGCATTTAACATTAAAAAACAGGGAAATTCCCTTGTGTTACATAATACAGGCTAACTAAAAATAACCATATAGGAGCGTAAACTATAGAAAAGTGATGTTGGAAGTGATGTTTTTGAATCCATTTTTTGTTTGAATCCTATTTTTATTTTTTTCAGATCCAGTTTTTTTTGTGTAAATATTTCTCAGGTTTCCAGTAAAACTGCAGAGCTTTCAAATTGGCCTACAGTAGCGACATTCTGATTTTGAAGAACTATAAAGCTGCATGCTTCAGAAGCTAGGTATCTTCAAATCCTGAGCCTGAGAGACCTATCCAGTATGTCCAGAATTCAGCAGCCAGAATCATGATAAGGTCTTGTGCCCGTGGTTGCATTACTTCTGTCATGGAGACATTGCACTGGCTTCCTATCAGGTTTTGTGTGGACTTCATGCTCACCTACAGTATAAGGCTCTAAATGTTTTAGCACCTCAGTACCTGTCTGATTTACGATCATCCTACTCCCCACCTCGCAGTCTTCATTTGTCTAATTCTGGTCTCCTGTCTGCTCCCCAATCCAATCTAAACTCTATGGGTGACAGGGCCTTCTCCTGCTGTGCCCCAAAGCTCTGGAACTCTATCCCTAAGGATATGAAGGAGTCACCTTCCCCAAGCTCCTTCATTTTACTGGTTCTGTGTCTGCACCTTTGTTTTCCTTCTTCATTCCAAACCCTTTGCTGTAGCTATATAATTCTGCTGTTTCTTCTCCTTGTGTGCTTTTTTCCTTACAGTAAAGTGCTTTGAGAAGCCACTTGTGAGGGCTCTATATGAAATAACAATGGTGATTATTAAGTAACACACTGACACAAAGTTTACCTTCAGCACAAAAAGCTTCTCCGGGGTTTGGATGTGGAAAGTGCCTTCCTCCGCCCGGAGAGGGTACCTGTAGGTGGCGCTGGTCAGGTCTATGCTGCCGAGAGGGTTTATGTCCTGGGGAGTTCGGTAGTAGTACAGCTGGCACTTCTTGTCCTCGTAGGCAAACCAGCGGGACTTCCAGGCTCTGAGAGGCCCGCCCAGCTTGTGGAGGTATCCGCACAGCTTGGTGGAGCTGCCCTCCTGAGTAACAGCGTCTGTTTCCGGAACACCGTCGATGCCCTGGCCCCTCGGCGGGGAGCGCCGACCTCCTTCCTCGGCATCACCTTCGGCCCCGCCAGCGGAAATCCCATCGGGACCGACCAAGGCAGAGCTGCGGTGGCGCGCTTCCACTTTGTCACCCATCACGGCAAGGCACGGGCTAAGCAAGAGAGGACAGCAGATGACGAGGAGCTTTTTGAAGAGAGAGCAGCTTTACGTCCACAATGAGAAGGCATGGAAGCTGTCAGGCCTCAACTTGAGACAGCAAGAAACGTACAAGAACAGACAGTGGAGAAACCTGCTGTCTAAAGCTGCCATCCTACATTCACTCCCTCCTTTGAATACCTTTCATATCGTCGTGCTCACTTTTTGACTGCTTCTCGAAATTCAGTTTAAAATGTTGGGATTCGATCAACCGATTTGAAGACACATCCCTAGTATTCCCTTGGCGGTTGGCCCTGCACACTTGTTTGAACAGTGTGGATCTGTTAATGACACAGCATGATCACATAAATCACAGCAAAGAAATATCAACAGTCAAGTCCCGACGCGTGCTTGGCTTTTAATATTGTTTGGCTAAAAAGTTGAAAATAAAAACGTTTATTTTACTTATTTACCAACACAGCAAAACCACTTGAATTAGTGCACAATACACATGTTTCCTGTAGAAATATTTCAGGTTTCAGGAACAAACTTACACAAGTTTTATTCTAATGTCTTATGTGTAACCCATGTCACAGTTCCTCTGTGATAATCTTCTAGCAGTGCTACCAGATAAACAGACAACTACATTGTACTTCCCTGTTAGCCTAATGTGGTTACTTTTGTACAATATCGAGCAGCCTATTTCTATAAAATTATATATAGGCATAACAGGTATAGGTATTCCTGTCAGGAATATATTTCCAAAGTATAAATATATTTTAAATTATATTCTGTAGGTTCACTCTCCATTTTCGAAATCCTTTTCTAATTGCCAACATTTAAGAAGTTGCAAAATTATAAATACACTCATAAAATATACAAATTCAATTAATTAAAAAACGGACTACTTTTGATTATTTCTATTCACAGCAGACTATAAAAAATAATTTACTTGTACTATACTAAATGAATACCCATTTATTGTCCGGTAAGATAAAATGCAGTACTCGCCTATGCTATTTACCAAATATTTTTACCAAATGCGTATTTACATTTGATACTGTATGCAAATATGTTTATAATGCATGTTTAGCAATAACATAACTTCAGATAGCAGTTGTTCCATAAAGGCAAAGGCACATTCAGCACTTTACTATCAACGAGCAGTAAAACTGTGATTACTTAATTACGTTTACGTAGAATGTCACACTCAAACGATGGTCCACCTCTAAAATAACGCTCGTGTGTAGAGCACTCCTTTAACTCACCTTTCCAAAAAACAACTTTACATTTCCCCCTCGAGAAGCTACACCACACAATAATCGGTGGATCTTACCTGAATCGCCTAATTTGTAACTTCCCAGTTGTGGTCGCATTGTGCTGCTAATCCCACTGCAGCTAGTCAAAAGGAGGAAAAGCCGGAATTTCCCAGCAGTTTCTCAAACATCAGAGGCAAATTGATAATTTCTCAGCTTCTGCCCGTCTTTATTCCGCACTCACTGGGCTCGGGGTGGGTTTCGGAACGGACTTCGCCGCTGACGATCTCAAAATTAACACTAAAAGCAGCTTCTGACTACATTGGCTACAAGTCCATTCCTCCTGTCTTGCCGACTTGCAGTGAAGTGCGCTACGAAGCGGGCTGTACTCCAGAAACCTGAGTCGCCAGGTTTGCACTGGCTGATCAGAAGACCGCCTTCGCTGAACACCTCAGTTCACCCGTCAGGAGAGAGAGAGTGGTTTGCTCTCCCCGTCGTACACACCTCCACCAGCTTGTGACCGAACTTCATGTGATTTACTAACTATAGTAAATGTAATGTTAACGAAATGTCAACCGGCCGACTGCGGCGCATATTTTAGCTTTAGTCCATGTTTGCTCAGCCATCGTAAAGAGAAAGTCACCACAGGTTTGCTTCTAAAGTGATACAAGAAGCGAAGCTTTTCTTTGAGTACTTAGCTATGGGACGCCGGCCAAGAAGCTGTTGAGCTGTATTTTCCAAGAATAGACACTCAGATTGTATGAGAAAAACACGTGTTTTAAAAAATGTTTTCTCCATGTAAACTGTTTTTGAGAAAAATGTAGTTGGGTTAGGAAAGAGTATGCAGGCAGTTTTATTGATAACATTCTACACTTAAAAAATCAGAGTAGAACAACTATAATAACGTTGACAAAAACATTGATTGCTAAACGATTTTTAAGCCCCGGTACAAAAAGTAAACATTAATTTAGTTTTAAAACGATTATACGATAAGGTTGGGACTCTTTAATCAGTTGTATTAATCAGTACCGGCAAAATCTATATTTTTATTACAACATCACTTAACCGAAGAGAGAAAAAAGAATATTTACCCGATAATAAACTTCCCAGGCATTCTTATACTCTTGGTACCGTCTGAAAGAATGTCTTATATTGTTTTGCGCGCTGTTTAAACAAGTCCGGCAAAACGCAACTTGTGTAATGATGTGCATCTACAGAACACGTGAAGCCTTTCACGGGGAAGCAAATTAATATTGCTCAATGGTTTAAAAATGGTACGAATGAATTAGAACTCATAGCACTAAGGCACACTTCCCCAGCTCAATTACTCCCTAACCGCCTGCCTTCAGACTTTCGTGAGAAGCGGTTTTGTTATGTGATGAATTATAATATTAATATTATGGCTCATGATGCTATTGATTTTTTTGTTCATTGTATGTGTTATGGGCCTTTTTTTATTTAAATCTACTATTTGTAATAGTTACAAATCATCCAATCTATATGGTCTGGATAGATCTGCTCAGCATATAAGATATGAAAAGTTCATTAAAGCCCACATGTTTACAGTACTTCAAGTAGGTAGCTGCATCAGCTTGCGTAGGCTGCAAAGGAACAAGTAAAGGTTTATTTCATGCTGAAAGGAGAAGAAAAGAAACACAACGTTGTGTTTCTTTTATTCTCTTTTCAGCATGGAATAAACCTTTACTTGCCTCTCCATATGTTTACAGTCTGGATTTTGATTTGTTTCATGGGTTTCGGTCTTTGATTCACACTATAACACATTAACAAAAGTTGCTTCTTTAAAGAAGTGGAAATTTGTCATGTACTCTCTTGGAAAGACTACAGATCTTTATATTTATGCCTTAGTGATTGCATAATTTGTTAACTCTTGGATAGTTATCTGACACTTTAAATACATAACTGTTAAACCAACCTCCTCTGTTTTCTACAAGTACAAAGTTACGTGTTTTTAAGTCATGCTTGAAACTCCCAAGATTATGAAAAATAATAATGTGGCAACGTGAAGATGTTGGTTAATTGATATTTGAACTTCTTGGGTTCAGTTCCTATTAGTCTGGTACAGTAACTACCCGAAGAAAAATTGTTTGAACTTGAAACATATTCCGTCGCCACTTTAACTATGTACTGTAAACAGTGTTCTTTTAAATATGTCTGCAGCATGGTGTCTTTTAAAGCACGACAAATGTTCTGTTTTTTTTTAAAAAAAAAACTTTTCATTTTTAAATAATCGTTGTTTTGTTAGATAAAAACAGAACCATCCAGGTTTTTTTTTTCCAGTTTCACAATGCCATCCACAGAATTGTTTATAGTTGGGTTTGTACATAATTTCTGTTATCTTTCTTACGGACTCTTGGGTAATTAACATAAAGACTTTGATCTTTCTTTAATAGCTCGTAATGTTTCCGGGATGCGAGTTTCGTTTTTTACAGTTTGATCTAACTACGCAAATGCTAGCAAACAAGCACAACAGACATAATTGAAAACGTAATAATGCAGTTAATCTGTCTGCAGTATCCAGTATACATTATTTCGGTATTGGCTCTCTTCATTTTTTATAATAATAATAATAATAATAATAATATAAAAATGAACAATAAAGGACTGACGCTGCCTCTCTATGACTTTAATCCGCATCACGATATTTTAAAAACACGATTAACAACAGGCGCAGACCCTACAGTACATCCAGAGCGACTTGATTTTCACCTCCAGACAAGTGAGGGAGCTATTGCACACTTTTAGCCTTTCCCTTAAGAGATTTTCCTTACGTCACGAAAAGGTTAGAGTTCATAGTCAGTGAGGTTGTCAGCGTGGTTGTTGTGTTATGAGGTGGTGGTCTACGTTTAAAGGAATTATATTAAAATTTCAGGTATGGATTGTTGTTTAGGAGACGAATTAGCATCTGGTGTAAAAGCTGGAAAAATAATAGAGCTGTATGTCAAATGGAGAATATTTGTATTTTATTGTCTAGCTTTATATTAGTAATGCTGCTTTACATGAGTGTTTATCGTAGAAAGTTTACTGGATTGTTCTCTGCTTGAAGTGTGCGATTTATTAAAAGATCATAGGGCTGGGTATTTCCATTGTTTATATTGTCCTGCATATTTAGATCTATAACATTAACAAATCTGACACCTAAGACGACTGACGTTTTAAAAATAAGAATGTTCTGAGTAGTTTGTAAATAGTTTCTCTCTTGTACCTAATCATTTATTTATATCACAAGACATCATGCATTATATAAACTGTACATTTTTACCAAAGACACAGAACGATTGTATATATTTGAAGACTACAAGAGGGTACAAACGAGAAGAAGCCATTTCACCGATGTACTATAGTTCCTTTGGTAGTTCCTAATTGATCGGATGGTCTCACTCATCAGTTTCTTCTTGAAATAAGCGAGGGTATCATCTTTGACAGTACAATTGGTTACCCAGGTGCTTTTACAATCCTTTTTTATATAAAAGTGCTCTCTGTTTTAAATAATCATTTCATCATATGCTATATTAACGGCGTTTGAATGTAAACAGTCGCAGGCAAGCTTTCACAAAGCATACAGAAAGTATGGTGTAAAACCTATTGTGTTTTGGACATGGAATTGGATCGTTATTGGTTCACAGTGTCCTTGATTTTGTTTTTAGTTCTTCCCGCTGTTGCATATTGCCTTCCTGAGACCGATTTTGTTACATTTTAATAAGTTTAGTTACCGGATCTTGCATGTTACTGTGAACAGCTATACAGTGTCAAATCAAATCCGCACTTTTGTGACAATGTGTCCATACTTATCGGATTTTGGTGAAAGTCTGTATAAGATTGTTTTGGATGTGACACCCTTTTCAGTTCTGAGAAAAACGGGCATAGTGCTTCCAAAAACGTGGAACATTTCTAAACAGTGTGACCTAGCAGCAAAAATCCACACCGTGACAGACTTTAGTAATAAAACCTAAAAATCACATTAGCTTAGTTGTAAAGCACACTCTTCCGTGCAGACTTGTTGGGTCAAGAAGGGAATTTTTAGTCAGAATTTGGACATTTTGGGATCTTGCTCGATGGCTGAAATATTACCGATTGTTTGCAACCAGCATTCTGACAGATTTTATTTCTGCTTCTAACAGCCTAATTAGCTGTCATTGTGCTTAACAGTTCCCACACTGAAGAAAGTTCATTCCTTGATGAGACAGCAGCCCCCCGGAGAGCTGTCAGTGTCTGGATTCACTTCCTGGTGTTTGCTTTGCAGGCGACATGAGAAACCTGAAGCTGTTGAGGAGCCTGTGTTGCTCGGAGCTGCAGGGAAAGGGCCGGCCGCAGTGCTTGTCAGTACGGACAGACACAGGCACGGTGTTCCTGGGGTCAGACCAGGCCGTCATAGAGCTTGACCCCCGGGGGAGACAGGTACACCCCAAGAATCGCTTGCTGGCCTCGGCCGTTTCTCAGAAAGACAAAAAAAATGATGGAAACTGCGCCTGACTGTCTGTTAACAGAGTGATTAGCAAACCATTTTCTTAATGAGGATCACATTAGCCTTACCATTAAACATTGGACTTATAAAATAAGAGTAACATGACTGGGATAATGAAAACTTTCTGCTTGCTTTATCCTAGTAAAGGTACCTAAGTTATGTAATGTGTGTTTTATCCCGCCTGTTTTCTCCATGTGCAGTTCGTGAATGAGGTTTCGCTGACTTCCGATAACTACCTCCCTGAAGATGGCAGTGGCTCCATTGTGGGCATCCAGGACTTACCTGACCAGGAGTCTGTGTGTGTGGCAACAGCAAGTGGTGATGTTGTCTTGTATAACCTCAGCGCTAACCAGGTAACTGCAGTGCCACCAGCTGTGCCTCTCCAGGAGCAAAACGGCTTTCTTTGAATGTGTTCACCGGAGATGTCTGCAGGGCTTCAAAAGTTAGTGCTGTCCTGTGAAATCTGTGAATTCTTCCCGTTTTTTAATTAAAAACAACAAATGGAAGAACATGTTACAGTACGTTAAAGAAACCAAGAACATACGGACACTGACCACTAGATTCTTCAATAGCTTCTATCCACAAGCAGTGCGATTGGTGAACACATTTAGCCATGCCCCTCGGACCACACCGACACCCTCTACCTCATCATGATTTCATATTTATTGCGTATCTCCAGTCATTCTTTACACATCTGCATTGTTTACATTTAAACTGTTTACTTCTACATTGTCTACTGTTTGTTTGTATTTTGTCTTGATGCACTGTCTGCACTTTGTGTTTTTACACTTGTTTTAACAATCGAGAGACTTTCTGTAAGTAAGAATTCCATTGTACCAGTACATGTACTGGTTACATATGGCAGTAAAGTTCAAGTTCAAGTTCTTTGTCTGATTTTTAAGGGTATTTGGTAATGTGAAAAAAATTAAAACATCGCAAATGAACTGCTTGCACTCTGTCTTCAGTGCATGGAAATGCGTACATAGAATTTGTCTTGTAAGCTGGAGCTCTGCTTGTGTGTGTTTGTCAGCTGGAGTGTGTTGGCAGTGTGGACAGTGGACTAACAGGAATGAGCTGGAGTCCAGACCAGGAGCTCGTTGCCCTCTCCACAGGTTAGTAGATTCGGAATTTACTGACAGTAAATTGATAAAGTAAATAGTTCTCTTTCATATCTCGCCCATCCTGTCACAGTGGTTAATTTTAAGCTTACAGTGAGCATCCGATCTCTATACCAGCAGCAAAGTGTTCAAGGCGCTTGTCTTCTTCTTCTTCTTTTTCACAGCCTT